TCACTCCACATTATCACAAATTAATTTAAGTTAACTGCCCTTTCAATGGTTTTTGTGTCCATAATTAATAATCCCATTATTGTACCATTTTCTTGTACATTTCCTGGTATTACACCACACGGTAGACTCTCAGATATTGGATGGATCCTTCATTGCGTTGTCCTTGCTCTGGGGTTAAGTATATAGGTGCGTTTGAGCTTGTGATAGCTGTAGCAGGAAACAAATACAAGACTTGTGCTTTCGCCTTTTTTCTCCATACACTAAGAACCAACACAACTAGAACTAGGAGGAGCCTGGTAAGATGGCAATGAATCATTTTGATCATGTTCATGTGGGATTATTAATGGTCAGAGTAGTAATATTATTGTCGTCAATTTCATCAACAATCATTCTTATAATAATCATCAGCATTTGTTGATCAACTTTCCGGCAGCTGCCTCCACCACAACATGTATGATCTATCATGGCATATTTGTCTTCACCATTCCCACAGCCATGACGTTGGTCCAGATGCGATTTCCAGACCAATATCTCTTACACACGCACACCCTGTAACCATGACAGTGATTCTGTGTAGCGTCATCACCTATTCCTTGGCCTTCAGCCTCGAGCTACTACTGCTACACAACGTCAGTGGTACCCCTCATGATGACGTATGCCCTCGTAATTGGTCCATTGCATCTGGTTCACTTTCCCTCGCTTCACTATTGGGCTTCTGTTTTCTCCACCCTCCTCCTCCTGGTCCTGGCTCCCGGTGCTTTTCTGCTTCTTGCTATTCATGCTGCTGGATTTCGACCTGAAACTGGTGGCTTCGGAGGTGGGTGAACTCCAGGGACGAAACCGTTGTGGAGGACAAGTTCACCACTGTCACCACTCAGCAACATGGACATCTCAAGCAGATAGTCATGAAGAGAACACTAAAGGACAGCCATTGTCTAGCCATGATTCTTGACGTCATGGACATTTCAAGCAGATAGGCAATCGTCAGTCCAGTCAAATTATTTCATCGAAAATGTTAAGAGAGACGATGTCATGGTAGTGTACTAGTTTGCTCGTGTTGCACGTTCCCAATTTCATAGGAAGGGAGATGTTCTGCGCAGTTTTCTGCATCTAATAGGTTTACGTATTCTTGTTTTGATTTTTTCTTGCTTAATTTAATCGATTTTGTCATGTCCAATAACAGAAAGAAAAAAATAACCCACACGCGCACGCACAACGGAGTTTCAGTTGTTTAGCAGAGGGAGAGTAGAGAAACGGAAGAAACAATCTAAATGCAAATTGCATGATCTGGACCGTATGCCGTGGGATCCATACATTAGGCGACGGTCATGATCTGTACACTACACAGAATTATGCTACTATTAGTAAGGTAACCTCATGTGAAAGGTTGTATTTGATTTAGACAGTTGTCTGTCAAGTCACAAGGTGATTACCATACTAAATCACAATTAAGTAATAAATGCATGGACAAAGTTTTGTTGTGTGCATGATGATGATTGCCCTTAATTAAGGATAAATAAAAAAATACATTGTTTCACTCCCGAATCCTTAATTAAGGATGTGGGCGTCGTCAACAATCTGCTGCTGCTATCAACATTTTTGTCGCAGTACAGGCCATGCCCGCTGCTCTTCAACAACCTCCGACCCACATGACACTTTTGCATTCGTCATTCCGGTGCTGCTAACGTTGGTCCAGATCAGATATCCAGCGGATCAAACCTGTTCCAAACACACCCTACGTTCATGAAGGTTTTGCTGTCTTGCTTACTTGCATATTGCTCGGCCTTTGGTTTTTGTCGGAACTAATTATACGGCATAGTCGTCCTCATCCTCGTCCTCGTCGAGAAAGACATCCATGTGCTCGTTTTTGGTGTCGTATGGCTATGAGGGTGTTTGGTTCAGTCTCGGTTACTTCGCTTGTGTCAATTTTGTTTCCGCAAGAACCCTACTGGCAGCCTCTGCTTTATATTTTGTTGGTGGTTCAATTGCTGTTGCTAGTGGGCTTGCTCCGGAAACTTGTGAGAAGAAAATGTCCAATTATGCCGGGGACCATGGTGGATATGCGACAGCCCACAAGGGTTGTTGTCAATATTGGGCCCCCATTTCGAATAGTTTTTTTACAGGTGAACCAACCTTGAAAAGCGATTAAAACCCCTTCAAATTCCTGATTGAATAAATTTGAAAGTTTAAACTCTTTTAAAATCCATTAAAATCATAAACATGAGCTTAGTCAAGTTAGCTAGAGTGGATGTGCTCCCCATTCTGCATCCGAATTCGAATAATCCTTTCTTGTAGTTTAGATTACATTAAAGTAGAATATCACGTGTATAAAAAAAATTTTATTAAAATCAAATGCATTCGCTAAGGTAAAATGTAAAGAGTGCTGCTATTTCCACCCACCTGTCCTATTTTTCCACCCACCTTATCTTTTAACTTTTAAAGACAAATTTAACCCTATTGTAAAATGACTTAAAAGGACTTAAGGAAAAAGAGAGAGGGAAAAAAAAAAAGGTAGACTTCGCAGTTCTCAAGTAACCCTATCGTTTGACAAAGAGAAAAAAAAACACAAGAATACGACTTCTTGCTCATGAGAAGGTGAAGAAGGCGAGTACTGTTGTTTTTCCCTTATCTGTTTGGCTTTGTACTCTTTGACATTCCCATGTCTTAAGAATGAACGTTTTATATTTGTTTATTGCAAAGTTCAATAGATTTCTGATCCTTGGATAACTCTGGAGAAAAAGTTTATTTACAATACTAGAAAGCTAAGAGCATAAAATGTGATTATATTCATAGAATCCATATTTACAAAAATAAAAATAAAAATTACAACAAAAAACTATTTTAGTTCAGTAAACATGAGAGACATAGACAGAAATGGAGTGTGGGAGATGGAAAATAAGATAGAGCAAAAATGAGAGAGAGATGTGTGTGCCGTCAGAGAGAGAGAGAAGAAATGAGCAGAGAGAATAAAGGAGAGAGGAAATGAGGTAATAATTAAAAGGGTATTTTAGGAATATTAGTGGGTGTAAAAATAGGATTGTGTTTTTTAAAATTTATATGGTGGGTGAGAAGATAAGATGGGTGGGAAAATATGACAGGTGGGTAAAAATAACAGCACTCAATGTAAAACATAACACTAAACAAGCTTACGTGTACTTCATATAACTAATTCGTGTTATTTATTTCAATAAGATCTTTGAACATACTGCTATAAAGTATGAACTAGAAACAAACAATAATAAAAGAGAACGAGTGTCTTAAAAAAGAATATGTAAAATTATTTAAAACCTTATTTTGTCTATTCATAACTTATTGTCTCCCAGTCCCAGCCCAGGCCCTCGTCACAATATGCATGACATGTTGGGTCAAGTGGAACCCAATCACGCAACATAAGATCTGGGCCATAATTTGGTGTGGGACCCCATGGATAACAACAAAGGTTTTTTAGGTTTTAGACATAAAAAAATTTTCACTTTTGGAAAAAGCCAAAGCTTTTTCAAAAAAGACAAAAAAACCACTCAACTCTCAAATCAAAGACATGCAAATGTATTGGATTCCTTAGGAAATCTAAAAATAAATAAGGGCATTTTTGTCCATTTTTGCTTCTTTTAAAAATTTTCTCTCTCCTTTTGCTTTTTCCAAAATGTCCCTAACAACAAATACCTTCCCTCAACTGTCTTGATTTACATGTTGGCAGTGGTGGACCTGTGCAGGAGCAAGGAGGTGCACTTGTACCTCCGGTCTCCGGAAAAGTCCATTAGAGCAGCTGGAGTTGCACCTCTGCTTCATACAAGAGATGCACGCAACGTGTTCGACGAAATGCCCAAACCATCTAGGATGGGCGCTGCATCCGTTGCGCGCAGCGCGCGATTGTTTTTTTTTTTTTAAACATCCCCTGGCCAAAACGACGTCGTTTTGGACCAGGGTTTTTAAATTAAAAAAAACGTAAAAAAATAAGGAAACTGCTGCTGCTGCTGCTGGGCCATTCTATTGGGCTTTCAAATTTGTATTATTCCTTACTTAATTGGGTTTCTAATTTCTATAATTACTTACTTAATTGGATTTTAAGTGGGAGTTATCTTTATTCAATTGGGTTTTGGGAATTCTTTATTTAATTGGGATTGGAATTCTCTTTATAAATAACCAATTTAACATTACCCAAATTCATCAAAGTGTGTGTGCATCACAAGATCATACGTTTTTTCTTCTTCTTCTTGAGTATGCCAATCCAAAGTTAGTCGAATGCATATTTTTTTCTTGAGCAAACGCCAATTTTGTTTATTCTTTTTTGTTTCTTTTTTTAATAATTTTTTTTTCTTATTTAGCTCTATCTGTATTAGTAAGATCAATAGCAAACTCAAGGAGGAAGAGGCTATTTGACACGCTATTCGAGGTAAAATTAATTTTTATTAATTGATAATTTGATATTGATTTGTTTATTTAATTGATAAATTATAGTCAATTAGTTATACATATAGATATAAAACCCTTATTTTGTTTTAATTGAACAGTTATGGAACGGTACTTTAAAAGAAAGAATTTATTATGAATAACATTAGTATTGTTTAAATTATAAGGATGTTTAGTTGTCTTTTTATTTTTATTTTTAAGCTCTTAGCATTTGAAAATTGCATCTCTGCTAGAAAATTCCTGGGTCCGCCGCTACATGTCGGTGACATTAGTTGAATGTCTACTTGTGTTTGACTTATTTGGTCATATTCTATCTTGTAATATAATATATTAAGTACTTGTTTTTAAAAAGAAATTAAAATTTGAGTTGGTGTGGTCCCAATGTGCCTTCCTGTGGGAACGTAGAATATAGCAGAAGTTGAATTCATGTAAATTTTTCAGAAATGCTGGGATCAGGGACGGACCCAGGAATATGAACTCGAAGGGTCATAGTGTAAAAATTCAAATTTTTTTTTTAAAGATTAAAATAACATTGAAAATGAAACAATAGTACATTCATTCATAATTCATATTAAAAACAACATTACAAATTACAATTGGCCACGACGAGGTTTCATACTTTGAAAACGTAGCATTATAGCTTCATTTTCAATACAATCAAAAACATCCTTCTCAACGTAAACAAGTAAGCTATCACTCAACCATTGATCTCCCATTTTGTTCCGAAGTGGACCTTTGATAATATTCATGACAGAAAATGCCTTCTTGACTGAAGCAGTAGTAACTGGTAAAACTAGAGCCAATGTAATAAGTAAATACACATAATTGAATGGCCGATGCATCCTTGTCTCCACCATTTTTTTTGCAATATCACCAATCCCTTGCAAGTTAGAGAAATCACTACTCGAACACACATAATGAATATAAAGCTCAAGTTGATCTTCAAGTGCCAAAAGATCCTCATCTGAAAAGTCTTGAGGATAAAATTGAGCAAGACGAAGAAGCTTTTGTTTATCAAAAGCTACAAATGAATCATTCGGACTCAAACATGCCAAACAAATAAGCAACTTAGTGTTTACCTCATTAAAACGATCATCTAACTCCTTAAGTTGCTCATCAATGACATAAATAAAGAGCTCCACAGAATAATGATGACGATTTGTCTTTATTGGAGCATTACGCCTTGACCTCCCTGGAAGTATGAATGTCTCATCCATGTTAGGAACATCAATATGATGTTTGTCACAAAATGAAGACACCTCTTCAACTAATGCATCAAACCCATTATTCCTCATCCAATGTAGTTTTTCCTTGCATGATTTCACCAAAGCCATTGCATTCACAATTTCTTGATCTTTCTTTTGCAATGCTTGTGACACATCATTTGTGAGTCCCAATATAGCTTTCATTAAGAATAAGTGAAACACAAACTAAAAAGTAAGCATTTCCTTTTGAATCTTATTTGCTTCACCGGCACTATTATTGAGATTATCATCAATAATCATTTGAAGTACATGAATCACAGATGAAAACATAGAAATGATGCTAATAATGGTATCGTAATGTTAGCTCCATCGTGTGTCATCGACACGTTTGAGACTTGTTTCTTGATGAAAACCTCGCCCCGTTATAAGACAATAATTTTCAAAAGCTATCACAAGTTCTTCTTGGAGTGGTGCTCTAAGTGCATCACGCCTCTTACAAGATGCTCTAACATGGTTAACCACACTATTAGTGGTTGTGAAGAAAGAGGCAATATCAATATTCTTCTTTGCTACGGCAACAAGTGCTAGTTGAAGTTGATGAGCAAAGCAATGACCATAGTATGCACAAGGTTGTTCTCTCAAAATCTTTGTTTTAAGGCCATTCAACTCACCTCTCATATGGCTAGCTCCATCATAACCTTGTCCTAGTAACTTGGAAAAGCTCAAACCATTGGAAGAAAAGAATATGTCAATGGCATCCTTCAGTGAAGTTGAAGTGGTGTCGGTAACATGTTGAACCCCCACAAACCTTTCAATTACATGCCCTTTGTCGTCCACATAACGCAACACCATAGCCATTTGCTCTTTCATAGAAATATCACGTGCTTCATCCAACAATATAGAAAAGAATCTATCTTTTAAACCACTCATGATAACATCAAGTGTTTCCCCGGCACATGCATTGACAATATCTTTTTGAATCTTTGGAGCTACTAACTTGAGATTCCCCGGAGCATTTTCCAACACAACTTCTTTAACTTTCTCATCATTGTCTGCAAGGAATTGCAATAGCTCCAAGTAATTTCCCCTATTGCTTGAAGTGGCACTTTCATCATTTTCACGAAAAGAAAGACCTTGTCTCAATAGAAACTTAATGCACTTGATTGATGCAATTAAGCATCTTCGATATGCCACACAAGCTTGTTCGGAGTGTTTGCTCACAGCCGTTTCAATATGTGTATTTTGATTCATCAAGTTTGTAGCAGCTTCTCTAGCTTTATTATGAACACTACCAACCGGTTCAACATGCACCTTCATTCTTTCTCTCCCTTTCTTCCAATTCTTAAACCCTGCTCCAGTGAAGGCTTCACTACCCACTTGCTCAAAATTGGATTTAAAGAGATAGCAATAAAGACAAAATGCAGCATCTTTAGATACACTATACTCCAACCAATCAAATTCATCAAACCATTGGGGAATGAAGCGTCGATTAATTCCTGAGATATTACTTTGTGGGAAAGAATGACCTCTAGGTTGACAAGATCCTTTTTGTAGATATGCTCTTTGAACCTCATCTCTAATATTAGTATCATACTCAATCATACGAATTCTAAGTCCCGGGTCTGCTTGAAGATTAGCCAAAACCTCATCTACCTCACTTTGTTTTGAATTTGAAGTTCTTGAACTACCCACACTATCCGAACTACCCAATGATGACTTCTCTTAAAAAATATTTCCATAATTCTACATAAATTAATCAAAATAATAACTAAAATCAATTAAAGAGAACACCAAATTTATACCAATTAACCACAACAAATTCATAAATGAAACATCCAATAAATCAAAACAATATAATACAATCATAATTCAATTTCAATTCAAGTAATTTATGTTTAGAGTTAGAATTTACCTTGAATTGTGAGGTGGTGAAAGCGGAGGCAAGCTTTTGGAAGAGGCGGTGTTGCTGGCAACGACGGCAATGGAGGAGTTAGGACTTAAAGCTTGGTGGGGAGAGGGTTAAAGGTTCGTGGGCGGGTGGAGATTGGGGATTTAGGTTTAGGAAATGGGGGTTTTGGAGTTTTGAGAAGGGTATGTTCTATTTGGTCGAAGAGAAGGGTCTGTTTCAACTACAATCTGTTCTTCTTCTTTTTTTAAAAGAAGCTAACCAAAACGGGGCCGTTTTGGGTCAGCTTCTAATTTTTTTTAAAACCAGGCTGGGCAAAACGACGTTGTTTTGGCCAGTCTTTAAAAAAAAAAAATTCGCTGGGTTCAAAACGACGCGTTTTGGATCCAACGCGTTTTTAAAAAAATTCGCTAGGGTGGTCCAAAACGACGCCGTTTTGGCTAGCCTGGTTTTAAAAAAAATTAGAAGCTGACCCAAAACGACGCCGTTTTGGTTAGCTTCTTTTAAAAAAAAAAAAAAAAGAACCCCGGTTCAACTTCTTCTTCCTCAGATTTGCAGCTCCTCCTTCAGCCATTCATGGGGTCACACACAGGTTCAAAGGGACCTTCTACCTTACGTTCATGGAGTCCATATGGATGTTTGATCCCATTGACCTCACTGTGAGTCCGTCCTTGGCTGGGATCGAAAAGATTTCATGGAACCCATCACTCTCAATCTGCAGTTGATGAGCAAATATGGCCATGCATTATGATCATGAAATTCTTGCTTTCATTATTAAAACATCTCCGAAATTTCATTTCAATGTGTACTAAATGCATGTTGTTAAAAGCGGTATAACACACAGATCCGGTCCTAATGCAAGGTGAAAAGGGCCACAGCCTGAGGTCCAAAATTGTTGGGGGCACAAATTTTTTTTATTTATAGTCCATTCTTTATATACCCTAAACAATAATAAATAAATAAATGATAACTGCTTTTGAAAAGAAAAAAAAAAACACACACACACACTAGAAAGCTGGCGGGCAAGAGTGTTTTTCAAGATTCTTCATATTTATAATTTAATATTACTTTGAGCCCATGCATATACTCATTCCCAAAGCCGCTTTAAATTTGATATTTATAATTTATAATTTATAATTAATTTTCACCTGAGTCTTTTTTATTTGGCTCAGCAAATCACTTGCGATAGATAATAGATTCTTACTCTTGTAATTCCAAGTTTGAAGTTTTTTTTTTTAATGACAGAAGTTTGAAGTTTCAAAGTGGAGAAAGGAGGCTCAAATTGAAGTTTGAAGTTTGAAGTTTGGAGAAAGGATTTGGCACAAACTGTTTGAAGTTTCAAATCCAGGTTTTATTGTTCTCTGTCTGTTCTTTAGTTTTGTTCTCATTACTTGTGTGCTTGTTAAAAAAAATGTTTCCTAAAAAAAAAAACCTTTCTAAAAATCTCAAAAGACAAAGAAAAAAAGAAGAAGAGATTGTTGAAAGTTTAAGAGGATATTTGAATAAATATTTTCTTGTAGGTACAGATGATGCTGGTTTGATTTGATTAATTGTGGAGGATATTGAAGCCAACAGATAGGGACACTTAGTTAATTTGTTGTTGAATGTAATGTTTTTGATGTCGGGTACTCTTTTTCCTTCGTTTTATGTGTTGTCCCACTGATTTTGCTTAAACAAGGTTTTAATGATGCTCCAAAGTATTCTCTATTATCTTTTGTAAACTCTTATAATTTGGACAGAAATTAATCAATTGATAAAAAAAAAGAAAGTAATTTTAATAATTAATTTATCTATGAAGGGCACACTCTGAAATTTTGTCACCGACCTTAGATCACCCAGGACCGGCCCTGATAACACAACATGCACTCTACGCACATTGTGGAAAGTATAATTCCACAACATGTAACTTACGCATAGTCGTAGTGTATTTTTCTTATAGTGTTTGTGTTCTCACTACTGCATCATCGTACCTTCTCTAACAGGTAAGCTAGTAAATTAGCTTTCCTCCCGTCGCAGGCGACTATTCCAGGAATGAATAGGACCATGCATTCGGCAATTACGTCGAATGTTTCCTTTGGGCCCGTGCGAAGACTTTCTGCACTTCCTGTTCCTGAGTGAATTGTTTGGGCCATTTTTGGGGTGAACATGAACCATATAAATAATTTGCAATTTATTACAAGTCTCAGGAACAAAGATTCTTTCTCACGTATATGTCAACGTCAGGCCGGTGTGCTTATGTCAATGTTGTCTTACATGATCTCCAATCTCATCCTTTGGGGCTGTAGATACGGTGTACCAACCTCGTTTAAGCAATTACTGCCCAACTCTCTTGATCAAACTTAGCGGCACAGTTGAATCACATTTCATAAGGGCCATACGGACTTGACGTCATCACCACCTTCCTCCAGTATGTCACCGGCAGTCCCTCATGCGGCGCCCCTGGTTAATAAATAGCCGAGTACGGAACTTAATTTCTCACTAGCGATATTAGATTATTTCTCAAGTTTCAGCAGCAACGCAATTCATCATTTTAAGCTTGGTACGATGATCAATCCTGATCATGACAGTTGTAATGTCACCTACTTCATCAACAATCAGCCCCGCTACTTAATGAACTATTCAGTTGTGCTACAAAGAACGCCTGCTGCTTCGAATTACAATCGTCATGCTCGTGACAGTTTGCCTTCGTGATTCCAACACTCCGGACGTTGGTCCAGATGAGATATCCAGCCCAAGTTCTGTTTCAAACACACCCTACAGCCATCACAGTTTTCATCTCTAGTTTACTTGCATATTGCTTCGCCTTCAGGTTTGGCGGTCATGCATATAAATGGTGTCGCATGGCCATGCTTGTGTTTGGTTCACTCTCCACTGCCACACTCTTGTGGCTTCTCTTTTTTACACACTACTACTCCTACCTCGTTTTGTGCGTCTTGTTTTTGCCGGTGGCGGGGCTAGGCTTGGACCGCTTGGTTCGTAAACTGTGGCAGCGCATCCGCCAAGAATTTCGCGGGGCACAAAATAGCATTACTCAGAGGGCATGCCCGCTTTTGCCAGTGACCTCAGGGAATATGTTATACACAGACCAACTCTTTTCTCAAGTGTTTTTTTTCTCACATAGAATAGGCCGTACATAAGTCGTATGTGGTTCCATGACCTCATGGTACCCATGTCATGAAAGAGTTGGAGAAGAAGTTAGTGTCCAGAGATTATTGTTAGTTCCAATAGTAGTATATTGTTTTAAGACTGCTCTATGTGCCATTAGGCTGTTCATTTTTTGTCCAGCACTGAAATAACCCTACCTCTATGATCATGAGATTCACAAATGGTAGGATTGGTTAAGAAGGGGAGGGGGGAAAGGGGAAGGTTCGGACCTGTACGTAAATGAAATGTTCAAAGTCAATTAATATTCATATAATGGAACAATAACATAAACGGGATCAAATGGAATGGAACGATAAATAAAAGCAAACATTCAAAGTTACAAGAGTCAATAAAAAAGATAACAAATAAACACAATTTTAACAAAGAAAAGTAAAATTCAATAAAGTTTTCCCAATCTTTTAATAGCCAATTTGATGTAGCTTCATGTCCTCCTAAGTAGCATTTCTCCACATATCTAAAGCTATGGTAGCCCTCCATGCATTAGCATTTTCTCGTTGTTGCTCTTGGGTTTGAACAATAAGTTCCAAATTATCTTCTTCATTAACAGGTAATACTGAAGATGAAGATTCGTCTACTGGTTCAATTGGAAATTCATTAGAACGACACTCTTTGCGAAGAAAGTTATGTAGTGCTACACATGCTAACACAAGCTCTGCTTGTGTCTTAAATGGAAATGGAGACGCTGACTTAAAAATTGTGAACCGTGATTTAAAAATGCCAAATATCCTCTCGATCACTTCGGCTTGATTGTTGGTTCCAACTGAGCTAGAACTCCCTTCATACTCGGATCTACTTCGCTTATTGTGGCTTGGTTTTTAAGTGGGAACCTCCGAACCTAAAGGGGATTGAGATGGTGGACTACATTGGCGGGGTGATGGAGGCTAGTAGGATGGTTCATAGTGATTTGGTGCTATGAACGCATCATTGTTAGGATTATATGAAAAGTCTTCTATCCCAAAATCTCTATTTTCTTCCCCATAAGTTGTTGCAAAAGCCTGTACAACTACAAATCACCAAAGCCAATATGAGAAACAACTACTAACCCATCCAAACCATAAGACGCAGACCATAAACAGCAATTGTTTGATTCTCCCATACACGCCCCGTATATAATACATGATAGCAACATGGCATATAGCAAACATACAGACAATAAACGCAAGAAGACACAGCATGAGAAGGAAGCAATACCTTGTTCACGAAGAATTGTTCAACTTCACGAAGAGCTGTTCAACTTCTCTAGCAGAAAAAAAAAAAAAAAATCTCACGTGAAAAGTTTGATGGGTTAGGATAAGATTTTTTTATAGGGTTTGGTATTTATACCTCCCACTAAAAAGTCACACAAATTCCTAATTTAAAAAAAAAAATCCATTGAAATTAGCAAGTTTTTGAATACCAAAAGGATTTGACCTTTTTTTAAAATGGTGAAACTTTGACCTTTTTTTAAAATTATATAATATATGTACCATATTAGTCTATTCATTAATTTTTGTCCTACCTCTATTAGAATGAGACTTATGCTAGTCCTACCTCAAGATGATAACAGACACACCTAATAATGGTTGCTTTGCTTGAAGCAAATAGGCATTCGTGTTTCAATTGCTTGACTTTCACGCCAAAGCCCAAGATCAATTTTCCTTTATCGTCCACGTCCTCATCACCCTCACCGTTGGATATGCCAGTACTGATGGGGACCAAGAGTAATCCATTTTTGTTTTTATTTTTTTCAAAGCAGTAGAGTCAAAAGTCTTTGGATATACAATGAGAAAGGATCTCTATAGTCTCCTTCATTTGTCACGCCGCGTGACTCACGCGTCATGTTCTTTCTTGGACATGTTTTTCCAGTTGATCTCCATTTATATATACATATCAGTCACCTTCTATTGAGGAATTCTTTAAATAATTTTATTTGAGGGACACCCTTCTACATTTATAAATCATTCTTGCAAAAAAATTAGACAAATTAAAAACCGTTTCGATATTCAATTGTGTCATATATATGAGAGAAGTTTGTGGCTAGTAAACTCTAATTTAGAAATAACGTTGTACTTATTGAAAATACTTAGGTTTTATTTGTTCTCTAGCGGTATTGCCATCCATAATCTCAACAAAGTGGGATAATAACCCATTTGAATTTAAAAGGCTCCCAACAATTGATAATTCCAATTACAATGTATGGGTGGCATGAATTGGATTGGGTCGATTTTAGTCCAACCCGTTAGAAATTTAGACTGCATTTTCGGTTAACTTATCTCATCACATCAAAATATTTATCAATTTCAATTTTCACAAAAGAAAACAAAAAAGCCAAAATGGTTGCATTTTATCCTTTCACCTCGCTTCTCCTCCACACACTCTTAACTTGAAACTTCTTGTTCCTTTGTTCCAATGAATGACGAATCGTTTTGTGGAACATCAAGGGCGGAACCAAGAATTTTTCAAGGGGTGGGCTAGCTAAAGTTATTAGTTTAAAATTTAATGATTATTTTATTTGGTACTTACAATTTCTATAGTCTTTTTAGAAATAAAAGTAAACATTGAATCATATAAATCATGCTAGTTCATAGCTCCATAGACTAATTTTCAATAAGCTTTAACATAAACCAAATATGGTTTAACACCATAGTGGCTTTGTAGTTGTTTATGTTCCTCTTATCAATAAAATACTATCGCTCTTGATAAAAAAACAAAAAACAAAAACATACTAAATGTAACTAAAACACACATTTGATTAAAATGAAAATATGTTCAATAACATATTCTAGTTGATGAATCACTTGATGAATCCGGTAAGGAACAAATGGCTATTATTCTAAGATTTGTTGATTGTGGTTCATGGAATGGCTTACAAGCATTGTTTCTTCAAGATTGTCCATATGCATATTATGTGCATTGCTTTGCTCATCGCTTGCAATTGGCATTAAATGGTGCAGCTAAAGATGTGAAAGTTTTATGGAGGTTTTTTTTAATGTTGACTAACATTGTGAATTTTGTTAGTACTTCTGCTAAGCACCGTAGTGAGTTAAACTTAATTAGAAAAGTTGAACTCAATGGGTTATTGGATTCTGGAGAACTTGAGACAGATAGAGGACTTAATCAAGCTCGTAGTTTGAAACGAGCTGGAGCCACTCGTTGGGGCTCTCATTATGCTTCTATTACAAGTTTGATGTGTATATTTAAAGAGACCAAATTACTTCTTCAAGAAATCAGTGATCATGGATCAAACCAACAATTTCGTGGCGATGCTGAGAGTAACTATATTGCTATGATGTCTTTTGAGTTTGTGTTTTCATTGCTTTTGATGGATAAAATTATGGGATTGACCAATTTTCTTTGTCAAGTATTTCAGACCAAAACTCAAGATATTGTAAGTGCTTTAAATTTTGTTGAAAACACAAAAATGCAGCTTCAAGATATGAGGGTACATGGCTGGGATGATTTATTCTGTAGTGTGGTATCATTTTGTGAACTACATGGTGTTGATGTTTCTAATATGGGTGCTCGTTATATGACGGGCACACATCGTTCTTGTCAACAAAAAGATTTTATTACATTTGAGCATTACTATCGCGTTGATGTATTCAATGATGTTATAGATTGCATGTTAAGGGAGTTAAATGACAGATTTCCAGAGCAAACAGTTGAACTTCTTATTCTTAGCTCAGCATTGGATCCTCGCAATTCATTCAAGTCCAATATTGAGCATATATGTAAACTGAGAAATTCTATCCTGCTGATTTCCTTCCAAATGAGTTGAAAGATTTGGAAATAGAGTTGAGGTATTTTCAAAATGATGTACATCGCCTTCCTTGCTTTAAGAAAACCAACACTCTTCCTCATTTATGTCAACAATTAGTAGAAACAAGTTTGGTAGAGAACTATTGTTTGATCAACAGGTTGATTCTGTTGGTGTTGACTCTTCCCGTTTCTACAGCAACAACGGAACGAGCTTTTTCATGTATAAGTT